GCCTGGACCGCGGTACTGGCCGCGCTCATGGCGCTGCTCATCGTGGCCACGGTGCTGGGCAACGCGCTAGTCATGCTCGCCTTCGTGGCCGACTCGAGCCTCCGCACCCAGAACAACTTCTTTCTGCTCAACCTCGCCATTTCCGACTTCCTCGTGGGTAAAGCCCCCAGTCGCCGCCCGAGCCCAGGAGCGCCCAGCCCGGCCCGGCCAGTGGGGACTGGAGCTCGGACCTAGGGTGCCTTTTGCTCGGGCACACGCCCCGTCAGGGGGCCCGGCCTGGGGAGGAGGCGTCCAGGAATCGTGGGGCGGTGGGCGCTGGCGAAGTTCCTTGCCTCCCTGCCTGTGGGACTGGTGCTGGGGAGGGATGTTCCCCGGGAAGGGGCCTGAGCCGGCAGGCGCTCGGCGAGGCGCAAGGCGCAGCGGCTGCGGGTGCAGCGCTGGCTCCTGCGTTGTAGCCAAACAAAGGCTGCGGCGGATTCAGGACGCGCGGAGGGCGCTGGGGGGAGATTTGGGGGAGGGGACGTGGAAGGGGGTTTTTAGAGTGTTGGGGGAGGGGACCGGGGAAGGCGTGGGGAGATGCTTCTAGGAGCGCGCTCTCACGTGTCCGTGCGCTGCTGCCAGCTGGGGGGCGGGGCGCGTAGGGAGCCGGAGCGCCAGACACCTGTTGGGGCTGCGAAGTGCGTCTGCCAGCGCTGTGAGCCGGGCTTGGCGGTGGGAGCGGCTGGCGGGGTGGCGGCCAAGCGCCTTTTGAGTCAGGAGAAAGGCTTTCTCGCTTTCTGAGCTGATGAGGAAGAGCTGTCGAAAGGCCAGGGGAGGGGCAGGGGTCCAGCAGGCCAGAGAGGGGAGGAGATGTTCCTTCTTCCTCCCTTTGGGGACTGGGAAGGCTGAACAAAGCCTGGGAAGTACCAAATTAAGGCTCGGGGTCTCATGGTGCCTGCCCATGCCTGGAGCTTCCCTCCTGCGCCCAAGTCCAGGGGACCCCAGTGGGACTGGGGGCTGGGCAGGGGTTGAAGGCAAGTGCAGGGTAGAAGGTGTGCTGAGGGGATCAAGTGGAGGGGTGGGTAAGGTGAAGGCTGCTGGTCCCAGAAAGGTGGCCACCATGTGACTCCCAGGTCCTGCCTGTCTCTCCACTGTGGTGGGTCTGACCCCAGGCCCTTGTCCAGCCTTGGCCCACCATGCCCTACTCTCCCACAGGGGCCTTCTGCATCCCACTGTACGTGCCCTATGTGCTGACTGGCCGCTGGCCCTTTGGCCGGGGCATCTGCAAGCTGTGGCTGGTGGTGGACTATCTGCTCTGCACCTCCTCCGTCTTCAACATCGTGCTCATCAGCTACGACCGCTTCCTGTCGGTCACTCGCGCCGTGAGTCTGGGATGAGGGTGTCCACATTCACTCCTGGAGGAAGGGGGACCACAGGAGGCACCAGGCAAAGGTTGCCCCCTTCCTAGTTGTAGGCAGTGCCAGGTGGGCTTGGTCCCTGCTGGCCTCACACCTGACACACCAGGTGCTCTATGGCTGGCTGCCCACTCAGTAGCCATTTGCTGAGGGTAGGACTGATCCTGGGACACACAGGAGGCACAGTCTGGACCCGGCATCAGGTGTTCCTGAAGGAAGGGGGTCACTTCAGCTTCCACCCTGGGGCAGGTCCAAAGTCCCTGGAGCCGAGGGAGGATCTGGGTCAGAGGTCCTTGGTGCTTCCCCACCACAGGGGTGTGTGTGTGTGTGTGCGCTCATGTGTGCGCCCCTGGAAGACAGGTGTTGGCTCCTGGCTTCACAGGCTTCGCTTGGTGTGAGTGGCCACCATGAGTTAGGGACCTGAGCTTCCTGCGTCAGTGCCGTGCGGGCACACAGCTGCACTGGCACAGAGGTCTCTCCTTTGCCTTCTCATCTTCTCTTTGATGGCTTATCGGGCACCCCAGGGCCCTCTGCTGGGGGTGCCACATGTGTCCCAGTCTAGAGGGGTTGTGGGACAGAGTGCAGAGAGCATAGGTCGGGGTCAGACAGACTTGGGTCAAACCTCAGCTCTGTCCCCTGGAGTGGATTTTCCTGTGGTCTCTCCCTCCCTCCCTGAGCCATCGGGAAAGTGGGGATAATGACGGAGCTGTTGAGGATTAAGTGAGATGATATCCAAAAGGTGCCCAGCACAGAGCCTGGTGCACAGTGGGTACTCAGTAGACAGGGGACCATGACAAGACAACCCCCCGGGAGCGCACAGCTGGTGGGGGTGCTAAACAGGCAGCCTGGCACAAAGTTAGCATTCAGATTGGTCTGGAGGAGGTTCTGAGGCTATAGGAGAATGTGACAGGGCATCAGCCAGCCCAAGATGCATGGCACAGAGGGGAGAGAGGGTGGGGAGGAGAAGGGAAAAGCATCACTGTGAAGGAAGGCGGTGCACAGAGGCCTAGAGGCTGCCGGGGAGCTCCCAGGCCAATGTTCCTGCCACAGTAGGCAGCAGCCTGCCGGCCTGGGCTCAGTCCCCTTCCCTCCTGACCTAGCATGTCCCACCGCAGGTCTCCTACCGGGCCCAGCAGGGCAACACGAGGCGGGCGGTGCGGAAAATGGTGCTGGTGTGGGTGCTGGCCTTCCTGCTGTATGGGCCGGCCATCCTGAGCTGGGAGTATCTGTCCGGTGGCAGCTCCATCCCCGAGGGCCACTGCTATGCCGAGTTCTTCTACAACTGGTACTTCCTCATCACTGCCTCCACGCTCGAGTTCTTCACGCCCTTCCTCAGCGTCACCTTCTTCAACCTCAGCATCTACCTGAACATCCAAAGGCGCACTCGCATCCGGCTGGACGGGGCCCGCGAGACGGCCGACCCTGAGCCCGCGCCCGAGGCCCAGCCGTCCCCACCACCGGCCGTGCCAGGCTGCTGGGGCTGCTGGCAGAAAGGGTGCAGGGAGGCCCTGCCACTGCACAGGTACGAGGTGGGGGTTGGCGAGGCGGCCCCTGGCACCGAGGCTGGGGAGATGGCCCTTGGGGGCGGCAGCGGTGGGGGCGCCGTGGCCTCGCCCACCTCCAGCTCGGGCAGCTCCTCTCGAGGCACCGAGCGGCCCCGCTCTCTCAAGAGGGGCTCCAAGCCCTCAGCATCCTCGGCGTCCCTGGAGAAGCGCATGAAGATGATGTCCCAGAGCATCACCCAGCGCTTCCGGCTGTCAAGGGACAAGAAGGTGGCCAAGTCGCTGGCTGTCATCGTGAGCGTCTTTGGGCTCTGCTGGGCTCCGTACACACTCCTGATGATCATCCGGGCCGCCTGCCACGGCCACTGCGTCCCCGACTACTGGTACGAGACGTCCTTCTGGCTGCTGTGGGCCAACTCGGCCATCAACCCCGTCCTCTACCCGCTGTGCCACTACAGCTTCCGCCGAGCCTTCGCCAAGCTGCTCTGCCCCCAGAAGCCCAAGATCCAGCCCCACAGCTCCCTGGAGCACTGCTGGAAGTGAGCTGGCCCTTCGCAGGCACCTGACACACCTTGAGGCAGGGCCCTCCCACCGCCACTGCCCCTCGAGGCCCTTGTTTCCTGGGCAGCCGGGCACGCCACCCTCGCCTTGCTGCGCCCCAGGTGTGAGCCACGCCTTGTCTGGGGCCCACCCTCAATGCCAAGGCAGCCTCTCTTAGACCATCTGCCTGCAGTGGGGGCAGCTTGGCAGGCTGGCCAGAGGGCCCTCACTTCCTGAACCAAAACGTTGGTGGCTGGCCCTGCCGCCCAAATCCTAGCTCCACCCCAAGAGGGACAATGCAGGGGTCCCAGCCACGCTGTGCACCCCCGCAGACAGTGCGATGGCAGGTGGTGGCCACCTTTCGCACAATTACTGCTTGGTGTTCTTCCCAAAGCAAGCGCTTGGTGTGTCCCCAGGCTTCCTGACCCAGTGGTTCGCCCCCGCACGTGCACACACCTGCACACACCTGCACACCTTCTCCCTCTGCAGACAAGCCCGGGCCACCGGCATTGCTGCCACCTGTCCCCTACTTGAGCCAGGGACCCGGCTCCTTCATCCCTCTTCCCTCCAACTCTCTCTGCCCCCAAGTGCCAAGTGCCCCCAGGAACCTCGCAGCCGTTCTCTGCCTTTCCATTCTGGGTGTTTCAGGAAGACGACGACGAAGAAAACACGTCCGTGAACTCGATGTTCCTTGGATGTTTAATCAAGAGAGACAAAATTGCTGAGGAGCTCAGGGCTGGATTGGCAGGTGTGGGCTCCCACGCCCTCCTTCCTCGCGCTGCCGCTTCCGGCTGAGCTGTGCCAGCTGCTTCTGCCCACCCCACCCCCGGGCTCAGGGTGTTGGGCCCCGACTGGCGGCTCTGAGAGCGGCCGGAGTGCTGGACGCCTGCTCCCCCAGAAGGCTGCCCCTCCCTCCCGTCCATCTGCTCAACCAGAGTTTCCTGGAGTTGAGCAGGAGGGAGCCGGCCGTGCCCTGAGAGTCCTGAGGCTCGCAGGAGCAGTCAGGGGAGATAGGGCTGGGGGTTCCCAGTGCAGGGGCCACTGTGCCACGTCCTGTGCACCCGGTTGGCGCTCTGCATGCTCTGCTGCCCGCGCGCCTGCTGCGCTGCCCCTGCAGACACTGAGGTCTACAATAAAGTGTATTTTTTTATTGGTGCTGATTCCTGAGGATTTCGTGGGGGGCTCCCGTGTGTCAGTGGAGGCCCCAGGGAGACACGAGACCCCCTAGACGGGTGTGAAGGGGAGGCCTGCCCGTCCCCTGGCCTCAGTGCTCCCTTCTGGCGGGGGAACTACTGTGGGGAGACGAGACCCGCCCTCCCGTCATAGAGGGTTTAATGCCAATAAGGGACGCGCACCCCGGCAGTGCCCCCACCCGCCAGACCCACATGCACCTGCTCGGGAGGGAGGCATGGTGCTGGGAGGGGGCTCATTCCAGCCTTGAGAATACGACCTACAGCCCCCACCTGATGCAGCCTGCCCCACCCCCACCCCAGGACAGGGTTCTCAGCTTTCTTGGCCATGATCTTCCGCCTGGGGAGCTTCCAGGGGTCGTGAGTGCTGGAGTTGAGCTTGAGGAGTGGAGGGGAGGCATCTCTGGTAGAGGAGCATCCTGGGAAAGGTCTGGGGCTGGGCCTGAGGGTGACGGATGGGGACGGGGAGAAGGAGCAGAAGAGGATAGTGCCAGGTGAGCATGGGCCCCGTGAACCATCAGCCCCAAGGGCTCTGCGGAGGGGGCAGTCACTAGCCCTTACTCCCGGTGCTCAGAGTCCACTCAGAAAGGGGGCCAGACCACCCCAATTTAGGGGAGATACAAGCTCGGGTGGCTCAGATGCCACCTCCTCCGGGAAGCCTCCCCTCCTTTCCAGCCACTAGGACCCTCCTTCCCGACCTCACAGACAAGCCTCTGGGTCTCGCCCCACCATGTCGGCCCTCTTCCACAGTACTTCTGACCACATCCTTTCTTCCCACGGCAGAGGGAGACCCTCACCCGTCTCAGGTCACTCTCACACAGCAGGGGCTGTCTCCAGCAGAGAGATGCAGGTCAGCGCACACTCTGATTCTCACCCCTGCCGAGGGGAGCAGCTGCTCACAGCACATGTAAAACCAACAAACGTTCCCCCGCAGACTCTCGCCCGGCAGCTGTGCCTGCACGTCCACTCCCCAAGCGCCCCAGAGAACTTCCTCCAGAAGCCACGGCTGGCACCCGTTCCCCTCCGCTCTCTCTCTATCAAGGGACCTCTCTGGTCAGGCAGGACTCTCTTCCTGGGCCCCTGGGGGCTCCCCTCCAGGAGCTGGGTGCTGTCATGAGCAGAGGTTGGAGTGGGGACCGCAGGGGAAGGTGGTGGCTGGGACGGTGGACACCACTGTCTGTGGGTCCCGAGCTCAGGAAGCCCACGTGGCTCTGGAGGCCCCGTGGTGCCGCTTGCACGACCCTGCCTGGCCCCCCAGCAGCATCTGTCCCCGCAGCTCAGAGCTGTCTGGGGAAGGACAAAGAACTGTCTCTGCCACGGTGGCGCCTCCGTGCCAACAGCACAGCCAGAGCCCCCGCTGCCCCTCCGCCCGGGCCTGCTAAATGGCTACAAATTGGGGGATAAAAGCGCAGGCTTTCAAGCAATTTTGCCTTCAATCTCTGGAAACTGCTGCTTCCCGAGCTCTTGCTCGGGGCTGGAGGAGGAGAGAAGAAAGACACCGAGTCTGTTGGGCCGCGTCCTGCAGCAAACAAACATGCCAAGGGGGCCTTTCTCCTGGAATCAGACGTGCTGGGAGGAGAGACAGAGCAGGCGGGCCCGGGCCACCTCCGCCCGCGTTCGCCCGTGCCCACAGCTGGTGCGGTGTATTGAGCACCTACTGTGTGCCGGGCACTGCACAGGGTGCCAGTCTGCTGGGAGGCAGATAAACAAACAACTGACAATGAGCAGGGCCATTCCCATGGGTGCTGAGACCACGGGCAGGTCAATGGGGCAGGGGACCCAGGGGAGGGGGTGGTCGGCTCGTACGCCAAGTGGATAGGGAGGCTGTCTGAGGAGGTGACATTTCATTCATTCATTCCACAAACATTCATTGAGTTCAGTGGCAGGGTGCCCCGAGAGGCCTCAGGGGCCAGGCTTGGGGCCTGAAGGAAGAGCATGTGGTGAAGGGGGCAGAGGGGCAGAGCTCCAAGGCAGGAAGGGGCAGGGGTGGGCAGGAGTGATCCCCCTGGGGCCTTGCTTCTGAGGACAACGAGGTGTCAGGGGAGGGAGCCTAGGCCATTGGATGGGGTGTGGTCTGAGCAGCCTACCTATAAGTGTCAGTCCAGCTCGGCTGTGCAGTCGGCGTGGATCTAACAGTGGGGTTCTGGGGGACCACCTGAGGAAAGGTGCAGAGACTTCAGGGACACGAGGCTGGGGAGGGAGTGGCCCTGAGGAACTCAGCAATGCCCAGGATGCAGGGTTCTGCCCTGGGTGCATGTGGACAGCCTGGCTCCCATCAGGACCACCTGTCAGCCCTCCTGTGCAGGAGGGGCTGCGGCCAGGCTGACAGGGCTGAGGGCCAGCCCTCAAGAAATAGGGTCTCAGGGCCAGCAGGGGCCTACAGGGTGCTCTCGACTGGGCCCCTTGGGCTGGCACTGACTGTGTGTGTGTCCAGCCACCTCACCTGCCCGGTGCCAGTTCTAGGGGTGCCCCCTAGGAACACGTTCTGGGCACGTGCTGAGTGACAGTTCTTCCCAGCCTGGGATGAAGGCCCTAAGTTCTCAGGGTGCTCGGCAGGCAAGCCGCCATCCTTCTACAAAAGGCCATTATTCCATGCTTCCTTTGGGGAGCCAGGGCCAGGACAAAGGATGGCTGGGGTCTCCTAGGCAGGGCCTCTGGAGCCTTGAGATGTGGGGGAGCCATGAGGCTGTCTGGTCATTACCTCCTCATGCCCCTCATCCCATCCTGACACTTGCGGCTGGGCTTAGGGGTGCAAAGAACATTTCCACCAACATTTGCTGAAGCACCCTACGTCCTCGCAGCCACCCACAAGGGGTGCTCACACTTTCCATCTTGCAGACGCAAGAACTAGGGCTCCAGAGGCTGGGTGACTTGCCCCACGTCCCACACTCAGCAGTCAGTGGGGGCCAGGACCCCATCCTCCCAGTCCACTGGATTGTCCCCTGGGCCCCATGGGGGACAGTGGTGTGTGAGCTGGTCCCCACAGCACTTCCTAGGGGACCATCTCTGTGCCCCCTGGATGGAGAGCACAGCAGGGAGATCTGTCCTGGTGGTGCATTGGGAAGGGTTCCCATGAGCCTCAGAACTGGACATGTGGATCTTAACACAAAGCACGTATTGAGCACCGGCTGTATGTTCTCCACTGTGCTGTGCACAAGGAGCTGGGAAAATTTGCCTCTGCTGAGTCAGGAGTGTTGGGGTGGTACATGCCTCCAGCCTAGCCAGAGAGCAGCAGTCCTGGGACTTTGGCTGGGACCCCGGGATGCAGATGTTTCTCTTCAGTTGGGGTTGTTGGTTTGGTGGCCTCCAACACTGTCTTCACTGAGGCTGCCCCATGGAGGGAGTACCCCTGGTGCAGCCAAGGCAGAGCAAAGCCACACTGACAGCTGGAAGGAGACAGCTTCCTGGTGCCGTTGTCTAAGCACCTGGATTCAGCCTTGCCTGAAGCTAGATCCAGACCTTTATGTTTCATGAGTCACCCAATACCCCTTCCTTCCTAAAGTTGGCACAAGATGGGGTTTTGTAATGTGATGGAAAATGTCCTGCCCAGCAACACTTGGCCCAGGCTGACATCCCTCGGTCTTCGGGGGAGGGACAACTGATCACTCCTACCCATGGGAGGTCTGTGTCTTTGATTAATAAAAAATGGGGAAGTGAGTTAATTATTTAGTAAATAATAATTAGTTGTTCGTAGTGGTTGTTGGTAGGAAAGCAATCTTTCAACACATCGGGCTCTGAGGGTAGAAAGGTCGGGAGGTGGAGGCCACGCGCTGTAACGTCCTCCCCACCCACAGGGCGCCACGTGGGGACCTCAACCAGGCACTTGGCTTTGGCCTTAGGTTCTTTATCC